TATCCCATAGTGATTTGCCATTCTAAAGGCTGGCACAAAAAATAATAATAATAATAAAATAATAATAATAGAGTTCTCTTCTGTAGCGGGACCTGGTTAACCTGGCTTGTTATCCCCTGTTTGTAAGATAGGTCAGACCCATTTCCCAAGTAACCAGACGGGACACAGTTCCAGGATACAATCGCTGACAATGTTTATTTGGGCATGCAGGGGGTCTCATCCAAACACAAAACACATCTGGGAGGGGGCTGGGGAACAGATAACCATCTCCCGCTCTGGGAGATACTAACAGGACACAGGGACACGCATTAATACACATTACATATAGGGGGTGAACTTTGGGGCTCTGCACCCCGGAACGGGAAGAGGGTACAGGGTTACATTTTATATGGATGGGATCCCTGCAAATAGCGGGGCGATCGGATGTACAGAGCCAGAGATATCTGCGTCGAAAGTCTGGGGCTCAAGGCTCTGTACATCCCCGAAATCAGTTCCGTGGTGTTGCTTGGTTTTGTCCGGTGAATTCAAACTTCACGCCTAAACCAAGCAACAACCAATCAGCCAACATGGCGCGAACCAAATCGTTCCAGTCAGCGCTAGGTGGAGGAAGGAGTTTTGCCGTCCAATCCAAAGAAAGGGCGCAAAACTCTGCTGCACCAATCAGTGCTCGAGGAGGATAGGGGTTTGTGGCCCAATCAGAAGAGAGGGCGTGAAACCCGATGTCAGCAATCCGCCAAAAGGCACAAAACTTATTCGCGCCAAGGTACGAGAGGGATTTCTCCACCCAATCAGATGAAGGGAGTGAAACCCCATTTTAACAAGCGTTCCTTCTCAGATTGGTCGCAAGCTCCTTGCAGAGACCAATCCACGCTTTACTCATGCCGACCAACCAGGAGAGTGGCGTGAACAGAGTTTGAATGGGCGCTCCCTCTCCCATTGGTCGGCACGGACTTCCATGAGACCAGCGGGAACCCTGCAGCCAAGAGACTGACTCACAGTCCAAGGGACTCTGTGGTGGCGGTCGTCCCTCTCTATGGTGGATATTCCCATGCAGGTATCCACCGGAGAGAGTGCTCTCCTGGGCAGCCACGAGTGTAGCCTCGTAGCTCCCAGGTAAGGGACATGGATGAGGGATTATAGCTCCATTGGGAGCAGGTAGGATGATCCCTGACACCGGGATCAAAGACAGTGTACATAGGCAGGTTCCAGAGACGAATGCTTCCCTGGCGGTCGTTCGGTGATATGAACCAGCAGCCACCCAAGCATGCACCGCTCATTCCCTTGCAGTCTGTGATTTTCACACCTCGTTAGCGAGGTGTGAACGTTCTAATTGTGATATCAGGACGATCCGGCACAGTTCAGGAGACGAATGCTCCCCTTTTGGACGTTCGGTAATACGAACCGGCGACGGGAAGCAAGCGCCACTTGTTGGCTTGCAGTCTTCACACCTCGTTAGCGAGGTGTGAATGTTCTAATTGGGGTATCGGGGTGCTCCAGCACGGTTCGGGAGAGGAATGCTCCCCTTGTTGGATGTTCAGTAATATGAACCGGTCGCCACCCAGGGGAAGCACGCGCTGCTCGTTCCCTTTGGTCTGTGGTTGTCAGGGGTGGCAGTCCGGTGCCCAGGACCCAGACACTGTCCGGGTGGCGGTGCGAGGACCGGGACCCAGTATGCCTGATGTTCAGAGTAGGAGTCACAGTGTGGAGGTGGATTAGCAGGGTCTTGTGCAGGGTAAGCGCACGCCCCCCTGGTGTTGAGCACCAGCGTTTGTGCAGCCACATACCAGAACCCTGATTCAGCTTATGCGGATTCCCAGGAACTAGGAGCAGGTAATTAAACAGACCTCCCAGGAGCTGAATAGGGAGGCTCTGCAGCAGGGATGTATCCAGTACTGAAGCAAGGCAAGACTAGGAGAGCAAGGCACCATGCATGAAAACAAGACAAAACTAGGAGAACAGAGCAAGACTAGAGATGTGACTTGTGTTCACCATACATGAACACAAGACAAAACTAGGAGAACCCAGAACCAGAGCAGGACAGAAAGCAGAACCTAGAACATGTACCCAAGACATGAGGAAAACAAGAACATAACATGGGCATGACTGTACAGGACTGTACATGGGCTGGGATTACAAGACAAAATAAAACAAGACAAGAGATACATGGCAAAACAAGAGGAGACATAGCTAAGCACTATATATGAAAAGTATGGGGATTTAGTCACATTATATGATCATAGATTGCATAAGTCTGCCAACAACACCAATGTACCCCATATCTGGCAGGTCCTACACTGCCTAATGTATGCTAAAACAACCACACTAAACCACAATAGCACTTACCTGCAAGAAAGGGCAGAGGCTTGAAACACTGCACTGTAACAAACATTTAAGTGAATCCAAGAGACTGGGAAATCCAGGGACGGCATATAAGAATGAACCCAGAAACCCAGCAATAAAGAAAACCAGACATAGACTAGAAAACCAAGAGACATCAAACAAGAATGAACAGCAAAAAGAGTACTGGATACCAGAAGCCATTGCCAGAATGATCCGCAGCGAGGAACAGGATGTGACAGTGGTCTAAGTAAACGTTCTAAATGAAGTGCCGGGGTGGTCACCCCTGGGCAGTCAAAAGGTACATTGCAGGATTTTATGGTCAAAAATAGCAGAAAGAGGAATATGAAGGAGGAGGAACACACATTCTAGTAGGGTACATCCACACATATAAAACAAGGCAATTCACAGTTTAGGCAGTCCCGCCACATCTACCATCCAGGTTATCGGGCTCCTCTTGTATATATTATATGTTCTGTTGCCTGGAATGCTAAAATTGTCTTACTTTTATTAAGTATGTTGCTAGTATGTTTGCAGAGGGCTGTCTGTAAAACAAAATGTGATACCATATGAACGAGCATTTACAGCACTCTTTTTATTGGTTTTAGGAATGGATTGGTCAGTCTAGACAGAGCTACTGGATTGGTTTGAGCAAAGATGACAACAGTCTGTATAGATGGCCTGACAATACAATTCTGTAAGTGGCCATCTGTTTGAATTCTCATTTTATTTTAATTTCATTTATAATTATATTCCTTTTTTTTTCTATTCTCTCCAGACAAGTACACTTTAAAAATAACTTTGCATGTGTAAAAGCAAGTCCAGACCTGGGGGAATCTCCTTGTGCTATATCTCTTCCATGGATCTGCGAGAAACCAATTGGTCGGTGTTTGTCGAAAGAGAGCACCCTGCAGTGTCTTGGAGAGAAGTTGGAGGTCATTGCAAAGAAGCCTTCTCCATGAGTCCTACAAAAACATGTTAGATCCTTGTGACTATCGATAAAAGACATTCTGTCCAAACTTTTTAAACGTTGATGGAAGATGTATTGTTATAAAGCAAACATTTTGAGTTAAAATGAGAACATATATGTAACACAGAAACAGGATCTACACATCTTCCCTATTAAAGGGAAGCAATACGAGATGTGATGAAATGAAGCTTAACACAAACATTCAGGGATTCTTCTCAAAATTCATAGAAGTTAATGGTGGGTTTGTGGTGCTTGGATCTACTAAAATTTAGATTTTCCTTAATATTGTCTGATTAAGATTAACAGAGATTTGCTGCGTATCTGATTCGTTTTTCATACAATAAAAAACATAAAGTAAAATGTATTTTCTTTTGCACATTCATTATCTCCACTTCAAACATGATCTGTGTGAGGGAACAGATATTTAAATCAATAACTGGTACGTACAAATCGCCAACATGTTCCGCAGCGCTTGGCCAATCTATAAGAAACGGGGAAAAATGATCATTTATGTATTATTATATATGTAAAATGTATTGAGTGAAACAAAATTGCAGATTAAAGTTATGTATCCACAAGGAACAGAGTAATCTAATAGATAAGCCTTTACCGATATGACAGCCGATATTTGGTATTTTCGGCAGTATCGGCCAATAGAGCTCCGATATTGCCGATAATACATACCAGGACCGCCAGGCCCATTATAAGCATGGCGGTTCTGGGGGGGCCCACAGCAAGCTGATACTTACCTTCCAGCAGCTCCATTCAGCTCCCAGTGTAAATCTCGCGAGTCCCGCGGCCGCAGAGCATTGCCACAGGTTACCATGACAACGCTCCGCGCGGCACACAGACCGCAAGATTTACACTGGGGAGCTGAAGGGAGCTGCTGGGAGGTAAGTAACAGCTTGCTGCAGGCCCTCCCACTGATCAGTACATGCCACTGGACCACAAGGGAATGCCATAGCCCCCCTCCCTGGCCAGACATACTATATGTGACCTTTATGGGCAAAGCAACACAGTCCTCTAGGGTAACAGGTACAGAAGGTACAGAACAACAGTCTCTTATGCAAAAATTGTGTGGTTTATTTACATCGTGCACAAAAAATCCATGCAGCAATCCGTTTGTTCAAAACTTCAGCAAAACAGAAAGGAAAGTCTACAAACAAAATACATAAAGTAATGTCCCTTACTAAACCAGGGTAATAAACTACACAATTCAACAAAATAAACATTGGTTTCACCAACCTTCAGCACTTTTTCTGGTGCTGCTCTGCACAGACCTGCTCTCTGCAGGTCAGTGTAGCTGTACTTACCTTACGCGGGGACCGGCCGAGGTCCTCTCTTCCCGCCGCGCGCGGCTCTCGGATGAAGGCGGGCACGGACCGCGAGATGCGGTCACGTGTCCCGCCTAGCTCTAAGAGTGTGCCGCGCGTTTTGGGCACACTCTTAAAGGGGCAGTGGGAGCCAAAAAATACAACGGCCTCCCATTGGCCCCTGTCATCCCACATTCCCCAGACACTCACATTTTGGGGGCGTGGATATGACAGGGGCCAATCAAAGTAAAGTTTAGGGTATTTATACTTACCTCTCCCTTAACTCCCTGCCCTATCGTGGTTTCTGTTTCAGTTCCCTTTAGCGCTTGTTGTGTTCAGTTGTGATTTTCGTGCTTGACCTTGGCTTTGTATCTGACTCCGTTTATCTCTCTATCCCTGTTTTGTCTTGTTTGCCGGCTTACTGACTACTGTGTACCAGACCTTGGCTAGTTTTTGTTCTTGCAGTCTCTTTGTTCCCTTGACCTCGGCTTGTTCTTGACTCTGTCTATTCTCTGCTAGACGGCGAGTCCGGCCATTCTAAGGTCCGGTAAGTCGTATCTGCTCTATCTGTCGATTGTTGGACTAAATCTTGCGTGTTGGGGTAAACTACCGTGACATTACGATAGGGCCATGGACCCCACAGATTTAAGTAGGCAATTGGCTTCTCATGAGGCTAGATTTGCAGAGCAGGATCACCGTATGGATCAGATAGCTCAGGCCCTCCAGACACTCTTATCTAGAACTACTCCGGTAACGGTACCAACTCCTACTGCACCCCTTGTTCCAGATGTATCCACCATGCCTAATGCTTCTGCACATTTAACCCCTCCACCTAGGTATGGAGGGGATGCTCAGTCTTGCAGGGGATTTATTAATCAAGTGGAATTCCACTTTGAGATGTATCCACGTTCCTTTCGCACTGATAGGTCTAAAGTTGGATTCTTTATGCACCAACTTACTGATAAAGCACTTGAGTGGGCAAATCCTATATGGGAGGCTAATGGACCTATGGTGCATAATTTCGATAGCTTCCTTACGGCTTTTCGTAGAACCTTTGACACAACTAAAAGGTAAAAGAATGCCGCCAGGGCATTAATGAGAATTAAACAGAGTTCTAGGTCTGTTGCTGATTATGCAATTCAGTTTCGTACCCTTGGTTCGCAGGTAGATTGGACCAACAATGGGCTAACTACATGGAAGGTCTATCTGATACTATATTGGATGAGGTAGCAGCTAGGGAGCTTCCCATCCCATCGACTATCTTATTGATATAGACAATAGGATTCGTGATAGACTCTATACTAAGAATAGGAATAGACGTTTTGCTACGTTAAATACTTCTAGAGTTGCTAATCCTGAGAGTTCCAAGGTATCAGAGGAGGGACCCATGCAATTAGGGGTTACCAAACTCTCTGATGCTGAAAAATTGTATAGGAGAAAGGAGGGACTTTGCCTATACTGTGGTAGGAAGTGCCATATGCTAAAAGAATGTCCTGTGCTTCCAGAAAACTATTGCACCTAAGGCCATATAGGTCTCCAAAATTGCCTCTTAATCGACTACTTCTCCCTGTTTCTCTGCATCTGGAGAATAATTGCATAGCAAGAAGCATACTAGCCCTGGTTGATTCCGGGGCAGCTGAGAATTTCATAGATTCTGGTTTTGTTAGGAAACACAACATACCCATTAGAGAGAAGAAGACACCCTTGACCGTTGAGGCCATAGATGGTAGACCATTATGCTCCCCAGTTATCACACATGAAACTGAACTGTTGCATATGTATACAGGGATGTTACACTCAGAAACCATTCGGTTTCAGGTCATCACCTCTCCTTCCTCTCACATTGTGTTAGGGTACCCATGGTTACGTTCTCAAAATCCCATTTTTGACTGGGAGTCAGGACAAATAGTATCTTGGAGTGAAACCTGCCAATAGTCTTGTATCATTAAAATCACCCCTTTAAATTCTATTAATGTTCCTACTACTCCTCCTTTGTCTACTGTTATACCTCCTCAGTACATGTGTCTTAAGTCTGTCTTCGATAAAAGGGAAAAATTACCGCCTCATAGACCCTACTATTGTGCTATTGATATATTGCCTGGCACTATACCTCCCAAAGGCAGGGTGTATCCTTTGTCTCCTCAAGAAAATCGTGTCATGGAGGAATATATTAAAGAATCTCTACAAAAGGGATTTATAAGGAGATCCTCTTCTCCAGCAGGGACAGGGTTCTTCTTTGTGTCAAAGAAGGAGGGAGATTTAAGACCTTATATTGATTATAGGGGTCTAAATAAAATCACCATAAAAAATGCCTAGCCCATACCATTAATCACGGAATTATTCGACAGGCTTAAACAAGCTACTGTGTTTACTAAACTGGACCTTAGAGGTGCGTACAATCTCATACGTATAAAAAAGGGCCATGAGTGGAAAACTGCATTCAATACTAGGAGTGGTCATTACGAGTATACTGTGATGCCATTCGGTCTTTGTAACGCCCCTGCAGTGTTTCAAGAATTTATTAATGACGTCTTACGAGAGTTCATTCACTCATTTGTGATAGTGTATGTGGCAAACCTAGCAACTTGGACATTATTTAAGTACTGTCGCTTTAAAGGTTGCCTGTATGATTTTCATGCTATGTGTGTTACAGCGTATAATGTAATGTGATTGTGTAACACTGTATTGCCTGCATTGGCTATCTGCCGAAAGCAGATAGCTGATTTCCTTTCGTTTCACGAACTGCACCTTTGCGGGCCGTTCATGAACCGAATTAACTATCATTTAATAGCCCACACACTAAGAGACGTGTGGTGCTTGTTAACCGATTGCAACAATGTTGCAATCGATAATTAGAGGCTCTCCAAGGTGGCCGTCGTTCGACTACCGACCATACGGCGGTTGGCCATCTTGGATCCTTTGTTCCCTCAGCGGTGTTTGGTCGTCGAGCGCATGGTACTAAAAACGGCTACTCAACGGCACGAACACCGCTGAGCTTCCAGGCCGTTCGGGAGTTCCGGGCCGTTCGGTATCTTGTTCCCTGGCATGCAATCGGTCTTTTGAACATATGTTTTAATGAATGTGTTTTTCGTGCGGCGTTCGGTTGTTTAAGATGGGATCTGAGCGGTAATCTCACGAATTATGCGCTCAGACCCCAGCTATCTACCGAACGTCCATTCGTGCAAATAGACCGTATATTCAAACAGTTATGCATTTTTATATAAATTGTCGGTTCTGCTGCACGGAGGGATAATCCACTTAACGGTAAATTCCAGTGGGAGGATCCCTCTCGTGCAGCAGTGCCTGATGGGAGAAATGTCTTGTACAGTAAGTCCCCCATGTAGTCCCCTCTGGGAATGCCCCTGGGAGGGGTCTCAGGAAACCCCTTGCATGGGGACTTGTATAAATTGTGGAGCTGGAAATAAAGACCTCAGTTGACTCCCAGCCTATGTGTCGTCTAGTTCTTGGGAGGGAAAGAGTACTACAGCGCTACTTGGATTATTGCATGCTGATTCCCCTGGATTATCCTTTGTTGTTCCTGTTACCCAGCGGAGATATTGTGGATTATACTGCCTCTCCGCTACAGTGTACTTGGACGACATATTAATATATTCAACAGATTTACATACTCATCACATGCATGTTAAAACAGTTTTGAAAACCCTTCTTGTTAATGGTCTTTATTGAAAACTAGAAAAATGTTTATTTGACCAATCCGAAGTCCAGTTTTTGGGTTATGTAATTTCTGCTAAAGGTTTTCGTATGGATCCCCAGAAGCTTTCTGCTGTCATGGAATGGCCTTTACCTCAGGGTCTGAAAGCTATTCAGCGTTTTCTTGTTTTTTCTAACTATTATAGACGCTTTATTAAAGGATTTTCTTCTATTGTAGTGCCTATAACACGCATGACTAAAAAGGATGGCAATACTCGTGTCTGGTCCCCAGAGGCGCTTAAGGCCTTTGAATTTCTTAAAACTGCGTTTGCCTCTGCTCCTATTTTACAGCATCCTGTCCCTTCTTTGCCTTATATTCTTGAAGTTGATGCTTCAGATATTGGGGTAGGTGCTGTCTTATCTCAAAGAGAATCACCTGATAAGCCATTACATCCTTGTGGCTTCTTTTCCAAACAGATGTCCAAAGCCGAAAATAATTATGACATAGGCAATCGAGAACTCCTTGCTATTGTTTTAGCACTTAAGGACATCTTTTAGAAGGTACTAAGGACCCCATACTAATTTTTACGGATCACTAAAACCTTTCCCACCTTAGTGAAGCCAAAAGATTGTCTTCTAGGCAGGCCAGGTGGTCACTGTTTTTATCTCATTTCAATTATATCATCACCTACAGACCAGGTGATCGTAACACTAAAGCTGACGCTCTGTCCAGACAATTCGAAACTACCGACAAACAAGAGTTTGATAATACCCCTGTCATTCCCCCGGACAGAATAATAGCAACTACGGTTCTATCTATTTATTTTTCACTCTTACAAGTTATACAGGCTAAACAAAACATGGCACCCAGTGAGAACCCTACTGACAAACTGTTTGTTGATGTTCCCGAAAGACGGGACATTATGTCGTTATATCATGACGCCAAAACTGCTGGACATCCTGGTCAGCAATTTCTAGATATTTTTGGTGGGTTTTCTTATGCAAGGATGTCACCGATTACATTCGGGCATGTACTACTTGTGCCAGTATGAAGTCTTCTCACAGAGTTCCTTGTGGTTGTTGCACCCGTTGCCCATACCCGAGAGGCCTTGGTCCAATCTATCCATGGATTTCATTGTTGAATTGCCTCCTTTGAATGGCAAAACAGTCATCCTGATGATAGTGGATGGATTTTCTAAGATGGCTCATTTTGTGTCTCTTGTCAAATTGCCCTCATCCAAGGAACTTGCTTCTATCTTAGCCAGGGAGTTGTTTCGGTTGCATGGTATTCCTGTATCAATTGTATCCGATAGGGGTATCCAATTTATTTCCAGATTCTGGAAAGCTTTTTGTTCAGAGATGGGTATTTCTCTCTGGTTTTCCTCTGCTTACCACCCCCAGTCTAATGGAGCTGCTGAACGTGCCAACCAATCCCTAGAGCAGTATCTTCATTGTTTTGTATCCCACCATCAGAACAATTGGGCTGACCTGCTTCCTTGGGCTGAATTTGCTCGTAATAACGCTGCTCATGAATATTCTGGTAAAAGCCCTTTCTACGTTGTTTATGGCCGGCATCCTGTTGTTCTTCCAGCTGCAGGGCATGCCAGCTCTGGATGAACATTTGGCTGGTTTACGTACTACTTGGAGCAGGTTCAGCGTTCTTTGGTGGACTCCGCTGCTCGCCAAAAGGTTCAAGCTGACAAGCATCGCAGGGCGGCTCCGTCCTATGTCGTGAGGGACAGGGTTTGGCTTTCCACTCGCAATATCCGCCTTCGTGTGCCTTCTATGAAGTTGGCCCCCCGTTTTATAGGTCCTTTTCGTATTTTGCATAGAGTTAATCCTGTTTCATATGCCTTGGATCTTCCTAGGAACCTACGTATTCCTAACGTCTTTCACACCTCCTTGTTGAAGCACCTCCTGTGTAACCGCTGTACCTAGCATGTTCCTCCTCCTGTTTCTGTGGAGGGTCA